AGCTCGACAGCATATAGATACAGAATTAACTGCTGTACATATGTGTTCTTTCTTTAAATTCAGGATTATTGTCTAAAGAAAATTAGTTAAGAAACCAATCCACCACACCATGGACCTGGGATCTTAACAAGGGAACAAAGCTCCTGATCTGAATACTAGAACTGAGCAGGCATTCAGGGGAAATGGCCAGGTAAGGACTCCCTCAAACCTTCAAAAGTTGGGTGCTTTATTTTCAAGAGGGAGTCTTGACAGGAGTTCTGATTTGAGCTTCTAACAAAAACTGTAAAGATGTAAAATTGCTCAAATACTGCAGTTCCCAGCACCTTCCTAGAACTCTGATGTGATCACTGGAGTTGAACTATTTATGAAAGTCTTGACATTTTCTGTCTAAAAAATAGCCTCTCTTACATAAACGAATGTTCTACAGAACCTGTTCATTTCTGCTAATCAGCCAGCAGTTAGCTGTAAATGTTACTTTTTCAACTGATAGGACTTGTTGTACATCTCTAAAATTGACTCCACCTTAATAATGCATACCAAAATGAGAATTTTAATTTAGATTTTAAGCTACATTCATGCTACTTCGCTTTGCCTTTTTTTTTTTTTTTAAAGAAGTTCCTCCGGAGTGTAAAAAATATTTCAGGTGACAAATCACCACTATCTGCACTACCAGGTAATAGCAGAAAAGGAATATAAAGAGCCAAGAGGTTTAAGTTTGGAGGAAAAAGGTGATGCCCCTATTTGTTATCAAAGCATCCCCTGCTAATCTCAGTACAAAAAGTAAAACCAGAGCTCCCCAGTTGTTGAACACAACAAAGTGCTGGGAGAGTGGCATGCCTGGAGAGGACATGGAAGCTCTTTGTCCCTTCCTCTGTATCTTGCCCTGTGCACTTCTTCCATCTGGCTATTCCTGAGTTGAATCCTTTATAATAAACCAGTAATCTGCTAGAGAAAGGGAGAAAGAGAGAAAGAAAAAAGAACAGTAAAACCACACTTAAAAGTACCATTACAGAGGACACTTCATCAGTCTCATCTTATGATTTAACATCAAATTCCTCTACCCTCTGTATGTAAATTATCCTTCTCCTCAGACCTTTCCAATTCTCTCCCTAGTATCTACTGGCTCCTTCGTTAAATACCCCAAACTTTAGCTTTTGGTTAAGAATGGGATTTCTTTTTGAGAGTCAAGAGAGAAAATTCATATAGCAGAACTGCCTGATTTAATTTGATCTTTGTACAATCTTGGATCTCCCATTTTCTAGAAAGGTCCCACTGATTACATGAGACACAGAAATTTTCTTTTCCACCTATAAAATGAAAAAAAAAAGTCAATTTTAATCTGTAAAAAACATCTCTTGGAGGTGGTCAGACTTGATTCCTATTCACCTAAATGGTTAGGTACACAGAAGTCAATACCATGCCAAAAATTCTTTCCTCCCCTCCCCAAATTACGCTGGATATGCTCAGACCAAAGCTTTAGGAACAGAGTGAGTATAACAGGAAAGGTTAAACAAATGAGAACTCAACAACAATAAGAGTGATCCAGGTTCTGGCTTTCTCTCTTCTAGTTAGTTAGGTGGGTGACTCTAGGCCAGTCAGCAATCTTCTCTGGGCCTCAGATTGCTCAACTTGATATGAACTAACGGGATTAGGAAATCTTCAAAGCAGCTTTTAACACTAAATATCTCTATTCTCTACAAAGGAAATTACACTCTCAATGTTTATGAATGCACTTGGCAAGGCTGCCCCATGGATGTCCTTCACCTGAAATATCATGCAACTTGGGTACTTGTGTATACAAGCTCACCAGGGAATATAAACATCTTTGGATTGGAGGATGGGAATGACCAGATATTGGATCCATGGTTTCATCAGATTCTTAAACAGCCTGACCAAAAAAAAAAAAAAAAGAATAACTGCAAGACCTCACAAAAGTAGAGATTAAATGTGGAAAAAAATTTCCATGATTTGCCATGAACTGTTTTCATCTCAAAGTACAGTGTTCAGCAGCTAAGAGAAGACTAATTTTGATGAGATAAACTGTACTACTAGAACTTTTCACTACCATCAGCTTGTAATATCACAAGAAACACACAAGGGAAAGTGGCAGAATTATTCAGAAAAGCAGAGATGAATATAATTCAGCTTTGAAATGCATTACTTTTTTGTCAGATTTATTCTTCTAATTATGTTCTGCTTAGATACTGTATAATGTAAACATTATGTTTTTTCTTAAGCACGCAAAATAAGACAACACAAGAAGACAGCCTAGAAAAGCACAACAGAGGGCAGATTTGTCTAAAAACCTAAAAAACGTCTATACTGGAATGGTAAAGTCCAGAACAATGAATATTGGAATATTCTAGACAGAATATACATATAAATATACATTTAAAAATATATATATACATACATAGTTAAAAGTGAGGTTCTAGAGTCAAATTGTCTGTCATATCCCAGCTGATTATAAATCATAATCACTCACTAGTTATATGGCCTGAGGCAAGACACTGAATCATTCTGAACTCAAATTTCTTTGCCTGTAAAATGTGATAACAGTACTTAGGTAAGTTTTGGGGCTTAAAAAAGGTATGAGCATGGTATCGACTTTTGTGTACCTAACCATTATGATAAATATGATCCAGAGAAAAATCAACCTCATTTCATCCCGTACTTCAATTACCATTTCCAAACTTTCTTTTTTTAAAGATTCATTTATTTATTTATGATAGACATAGAGAGAAAGAGGCAGAGACACAGGAGGAGGGAGAAGTAGACTCCATGCCGGGAGCCCGACGTGGGACTCGATCCCAGGACTCCAGGATCGCGCCCTGGGCCAAAGGCAGGCGCTAAACCGCTGAGCCACCCAGGGATCCCCTCCAAATTGTTTTTTATTTTAACAAGAGCAACTAGTAGGTGGAAAAATTAATGATACATCTCCTTTTCCTGACCCCACAAGCTCATTAGTAGTAGTAAGCAGAGAAGTAGCTGAAAGAGTAAAAAGGAAAAGAAGTAAAAGTCCTAGAGCAGCCCTGTCCAGCAGACCCTTCTGTGATAACGGAAATGTTCCACATACATTGTCCAATATGATAGCCCCAAGCCACATGTGGCTAGTTCTACTGAGAAAATAAATTTTAATTTTACTAACATTTAAATACTGATATGTAGCTATAGCTGTTTTATTGGATAGTACCTCCCCAGATGACCCATAAACTGAATAAAGATTGCCAGAAATTTCAACAAAAAACAAGAGTCTTCTTTTCCTAAATTGTTCCCATGTTCAATTCAAATATCTTTGCTTTCAGTGGAGACCTGGTAACTGTGGCTAGTTAAGAAAAAACATGCCAACTGATACATCAATACAGTGCAACTCAGTGCTAATGACAGGACCAGAGATAAGAAGCATGTGGTCCTCTGATATTTTAGAAGGTCCCTAAGGCCACGTTAAATTCAAGCTCATATGAAGCCTGGTTCAGTATAAGAGCTGCAAAAGTTCTTATCAGAACCCCCAATGCATCTGTTTCTCCACTGCCAAACGGAAAGCTACTTAGACAATGCAGATTGAACATCCTTACATTTATTGTAAATTTCTTCAGAAATTCAGAGTTCTGTAAGCCTTTCCCTCTTTCAGAAACACTTGGGTTCCTGGTCAGCTCAGCCTTTCCACTATAAACAAAATCCATGTACCACCCATATCTGAAGTATAACGCCAGACTCCTGCTTAGCTGCCCCTGTAATATGGTTTAATTATGATGACTGAACTAATAGGCTGACATCATAGACTTTTACAGGCTGACCCCATGTCATCCTGATGTATCATTTTGCACCAGTTCAGTGCTGTAAATCAATTTAAGATCTCAAGCAGGTTGAAAAGGCTGGTAATGATGCTTTCTCTGCTGTCTCTGGAGACTCTACATTATACACAACTTACATTATTTATAAAGCCTCAATGATGCCTCCATTAGCCTTGTAAGACTACACAAATGAGATCTTTTATACACACACAACTTGGCCTTGATTATGTAGGTGACTACAGCTTAAACATAGTCATCTAATTACACCCCGGTTTCTTCTTTTTCTTATCTAACCAAGTCATTAAATTTTATCTTTAACCCAGAATTACTATAAATCAGAATCGCAAACTGAAATTTAGTTTTTAACTAACAAATGTATGGGGGTGGGGGGGGGGGAATGAGACTGACATATGCTTCAATGAATTTCGTAGGGAAAAATTTACTTAAATTCCAAGAATATAAGAGGTTAACATTTTCAAATACCTATAAAATGGTCATTTCTCTAAAATGCAAAGGTCATCCACTCTTCAAGGGTATAAAACCAACGGATACTGCAAAAAGGAAAAATGTATTTGGTTACATACCTATGGTTGGAGGGGTCAAAACTAAATCAAGGACAAATCCCTACACTCAGAAGAAACCCGATCTTGCCTGGATCCTCCAGAGGCTCTGGCATCACCCACTTCTAGAAAATCATCTCTCACGACCCTGGTTACAGTTTCCTAAGAATTGCAGTATCACACAAATGTACACCACCTGCAGAGAAATATCAAGTAACTGCAAATGGGAAAGAGAGAGGGAGTACGACAATCACCTTAATCATTTCAGCATAGGTAGGCCTGGCACCTACATCAGAAGAACACTGATGCAAAATATTTATACTACTTGAAAATGCTGGGTCCCTGAACATGGGTCCTGTCACTATTTTTTTTTTTTTTGAAACAGTGTTTCCAATACAGCTCACATACTTCCAATAAAACGTAAAGTGGTAACTATAAGCAACATGAAAAGTCAATACGGGCCGAGAACAGTTTTCTTATCGTGTTACTGAACGTAAGCATGTTATCACCACGGGCAAGGGGAGCAAGAAATGCTCCGAAACGAAGGCATTCTGTGATTTAGGTGCTCAGAGTTGCAGCAACAGGATGACAGAGTGACATCATGCAACTTCTGTATCATTCCACATGCCTTGAAACTTCGGATACAATGGAAAAGAAGAGAACAGGAAGGGAGGAGGGGGAGGGAAGGCCGGTTGCCACAGCACTCACGAAAACGATGCTTTCTCAAGAAGATGGTTCTGAGACGTGCCTCGATTTTCAGAAGGGAAGCGGCTCGCGGGCTATCTTGCACAGTGGAGGGAAGAATCGTACGAGCCTCAAAATAAACAAAAGCCGCAGCTACCGTAGTCGTGGGATCCGGCAGGCGCTTGTTCCTCCTCCCTTCCTAAAGTGCATCAAGGAAACGTTCTCCCTTTAAGCCTTCGTGCGTGTAAAGCAACTAGAAAAACAAGCCCACGTCGGTCTCGCTCACACCCACTCCCCCCACCTTCCTCCAGCAACCAGCCCGAGAAACGCCAACAAAGGCGGCGAGCGGAGTAAATGAACAGTTGTTCAGCAGCGAACTCACAAATACACACGCCGTGAGGCAATCGAATCCGGTAAAGGGAAAGGAATGAGACGACACTTGGAGGCGCGCGGGGTGTAGGCGGAAGAGGAAAAAAAAAAAAAAAAATACGCGCCGCCGCCAAGCCTTTGAATAAATTAGAGGGAATTTCGGTGCGAACTTTCCTTGACCTCGACCCCCAAGAGGCGCGCTGGGGCAGGGAAAGGCCCCCGTGCGGGATGCGGCGGCGCGCGGGGCACCGGGGGCCCCTGCAGCCGGCCCCGCTCGGCCGCGCGCCCACCGCGCAGAGCGCAGCGCCCCGCGGCCGTCCCCCGGGCCGTCCCCCGGGCCGTCCCCCGGGCCGTCCCCCCAGCTCCCGCAAGGGTCGCCCGGGCCGGCGGGACACAATGGGGCCGCGGGCGGCGCGCACGGGCCTCGGCCCGGCTGCGGAAAGGGAGAGAGATCCGGGAGCCGGCGCAGGGGAGAGGGCGGGAGGGGAGGTCCCGCGGCGGCCGGCGCCGGGGAGCGGCTCGGGCGGAGGAGCGCGGCTCCCCCACCGCAGAGCCAACAAAGACGCGAGGAGAACGGCGCCGAGCCCCGCCTGGCCGGCTGGGCGCCACGGCAGGAGGCGGTGGCAGGTCCGCTCCTCGGGGCGGCCGGGAGGCGCCATCATGGGGGGGGCCGGCCCGCCCCACGCGGGGAAGAGCCCCCTGCCCGCCGCGGCCCGCGTCACCGGCCCCGCGTAGCCGCGGCAGCCCGCGGGCCCGCGCCCACCCCACGGGAGGCGGCGGCGGCGGCGCTGGAAAGCGCTGGGCGCCGAAGGAGGGCGGGGACGCGGCCAAGGAGAAAGTTGGGTTCGGGTCTGTTTCGTTTTACCGGGTTGGCGGCGCGCCCGTCCGCGCGGGCGCACGAGGGGCCGGACGAGCGGGGTCCCGCGGCCCCGGTCCGGCCGGCGGGGCGCTGCGCTCGCAGGGTGCGTCCCCGCGCCTCGGCCCGGGCTCGGCCGCTCGGCCTCTGCTTCCTCCGCCCGCCCGCCCGCCCGCCCGCCCGCTCGCTCGCTCCCGGAGCCTGGATTGATCTGGTCGCGCTGGCGTCAGGGAGTCGGAGCCGCCCAGCCTCCACTCCGCGGCTGCCAACAGCCGGCGCACTCGCCCGCCCGCCCGCACGCTCGCTCGCTCGCTCGCCTGCTCACACGCGCACCCGCGCGCCGCCGCCGCCGCCGCCGCCGCCGCCGCCGCCGCGCGACCAGGGATCCTCTCCAAATTCCCGGCCGCTTAGCGCGAGCGCGGGGCCGCGGGGCCGCGGGGCCGGCCACCTCCCTGCTCCCGCCTCCCCCAGCCCGCCCCCGGCCCCACGCCCCGTTTACTCCAAGGAGAAAAAACCAGCCTTCTTTCCCCTGCTTCCTGGCGTCCCGGCGGAGCGGACTCGGTGCGTTATCCTCACGTGAAGTTCGATGTTTAGTCTTTTTTTATTTTCTGACCCCCCCCCCCCCCGCCCGTCTACCGCGCCCTCCGAACGCTACCAGCGCGCCCGCGGAGCGCAGTTTTGACCCTTCTCTTTCAGACCTCTTCTTCTCAGGTCTGGTTTCCACTGCCCCTCACTTCTGCATGCCCCAGAAGTTGCACGTACCCAGATTGGATAGCCTAGTGCTACTGCATGTGCTTACACCCGTATCAATGTTTTGTGTTTTGGGCCGGTTCAGTATGTGATGACTTGAGTGGGTAACGTAGTTGTTCTAAGTGATGGCACATGCCACAGTGGAACTCAACTTTTGATCCAATTTCTATGATCTTTTATATGACACCAACCCCCTAAAATAAAAACAGACTGGCTCTCATCTAACCTGATCTGCACAGACACCGAACACATCTTTTGTAAGAATTAATTTTTCCCTTGGCTAGCTCTCTGGAAGCTGGCATGAAATCTTGGATAATTACCATAATGTTGAGTTATGTTTAGAGAGGAATAATTACTCTGAGGAATAGATTTCTCACGAACTCAAAGAACCATTACCACCAATATAAAGAAAATATCAAAGACCGAAGTAAGTTAATGGTACTCTCCAATTGTTCATGCACCTTCACATGTCCACATTCTATTTTAAATTCATATTTCTTAATCTATTTCTGCATTCCATGTTTAATTATTCAAAAGAAATGCAACAAGCCCCATAAGACATACAACACTTTGTAAATTATAGATCGGAATATTTCAGTTCATCTCTTTGTTAAGCTATTTGAGCACTTACTGGTCAAGTCTTGGGCCTCATCTTATTTTCCCTAAAAGCAGCATTTGACACAGTTCATCATTCTCTGCTCCTTGAAACAACAGCTGGCCTGAGCCTTGTGAAATGCCACTCAGATCAGGTCACTCCTCTGCTCAAAACCCTTCCCTGATATATAGAATGTGCTGTATACACAATGGAACATTATTCAGTCATTAACAAGAATGAGATACTGACACATGCTGCATGAATGAACCTGGAAAATATTGTATCACATAAAAGAGGCCAGATACAAAGCCCACATATTTGATTCATATTGAAATACCCAGAATTGGCCCATCTGTAGAGACAGGAAGTAGAATGGTGGTTGCCTATGTTTGGGAGGATAGGGAGATCGAGGAAGAGCGATAGCTAAAGGTTATCGTGTTTCTTGCGGGGGGGGGGGGCGTGTAAAAAATGTTACAAAATTAGTCTGTGATGGTAGTTACACAACTCTGTGGATATATTAAAAGCCATTGAATCGTGCACTTTAAATGGGTAGATTAGACGGCGCGTGAATTTTGTTTCAATAAAGCTGTTTTAAAAAGATACAGCAACTAAATGCAGTGTGTGATCCTTAATTGGACCCAGGATTATGGGAGAAGCTATGCAATGACAATAAAACTCACTTTTTATTTTATAAAAATTATAAAATTATTACGTTTTAACCTACACATGACCTTGCTTAGTGCAGTTCTGGTCGCCACAAATGACAATTATTAACACTGCATATGCTATGCAATTTGATTTTACCCTTTGTGCAAGTTATTTCTTTAAATGGCAATACAAAATTGGATACTTTTCTCAAAAAAGGACATTATTTGGACAACTGTCAAAGCTTGAATATGGCTTGTGTATTGATATCACTATCAGAAAAACCTTCCCTTGGCTCCCCATTTCATTCAAGTAAGAGTTCTCACCATGTGTACAAAGCCCTCCCTGATCTGTGCTCCCAACTCCTACCTGATCTCCTACTCTCTCCCTTGCTTACTTCCTCAAGTCAACCTGGCCTCCTCACAAGTCCTGGAGCAACCTGAGTCCAATCCCATCTCAGGCCCTCCACAGTAGCTGTCTCCTCTCTGGAAAGCTCTTCCCACATGGCTGTGGGCCTTCCCTCACCTCTCTCAGGTCTTCATCCAACTGTTCCCCTCTCAATGAGACCCAGCCTGGCCGCTCTATCTAAACTTTTACCTACCCCTCCCAAACACACATGTTTTGTAATCCTCTTTCCCTATCACTACCTAACTACTTAGCTGAAAGAACAGGACTTTTGGTCTGTTCAGTTCATTGCTATTCTCTCAGAGCCTAGAACAGTATCTGGCACCCAGAAGGAGCTTATTAAACACCTGCTGAATGAATGAACGAACAAACAAATGTGTGAGGCACTGTTCTAATTACAAGGCATATAGTTACAAACTACACAGATAAAAAATCCCTGCTCTCATCAAAGAAGATAAATAATGAATAAATACACAAATATTCTAGGTGGTGGGTGGTACATGGGAAGGAAGAAGCAAGGTAGGAGGGATTGGGAGCAGGGGTGGGTCCTATGTCTATAGAGGTAGGGCAAAGCTCCCTAACAAAGAAGTCTTGAAGGAAGACAGGGAGCATGCCACTGATCTAGGAGGAGGGTCACCAAACTCCCAAGCAGAGTGAAGAACAAGTGCAAAGTCCCTGAACCTGAGTCTACTTCATCCAATCGCGGATGAGCCAGGAGGCCAGTGCAGTGATGCAGGGAGAAGCTAGACACAGGAGGGAAGACAGTGTGTGGACCAGGTGCACCTGTGCTGGTAGCTGCCCAGGTGGGAACACAGGGAACTTCTCTTCTACTACTTCTCTATCTTAGTGAAGAGCCCTACTTCCTGAGAATGGTTAGGGTGGGAGAGATTATGGAGGTTGGAAAAGAGAAGCAGATATGAAAGAGTTATCTTCTAGGAGAGTTTCAGAGCAAATGAACTACGCAAATACGGTAGGATTGCCAGGCAGTGCCAGTAAGTGCCGATTTGAGGTTAATGGTCATGAATGCAAAGCAAGAACACTCAGCAGGGCTGTGGACTTTTCTCCAGCCTTGTCAGCCTGAGGGGACAGCACTAGGGTTTTGCAGGTAAGTGTGATGGAGGGAAAGAGGGTCAGAGAGCAGAGAATGTGGGCAGGGGAGAGGCTGGGGTGGGCTGTGGGAGCGAGGGAGGTGAGGATATAAAGGAGCAGAAGACAAAGGAAAGGTGATAAGATCAATGGATTGAAGGTCCTAATGGAGTCCAAGAATTGCCAGAGTTGAGACTCACTCCCAAATAATAGGAACAGTCTGGGAATGGGATGCTTGAAATTATGGAGCTGGGGCAGTTTGGGGTGATGCCAATATCTAGTGGTGTGGCCAGAGAAAGTAGGTGGGTAAGGCAGGGAAGAGGACAGTCTCCTCAGAGAAAAAGAGGTATCAAGTCACCAAAGGCAAACTAATTCTCTTATTGAGCTAGCCTGCTTAAAAAATGAAAACAAAACCAAAACACAACTACTAATCACTTATCAATAAGGTGAGCCCTTAAAATTGGCTGCAAATACTAAATGTGCAAAATATGAACACCCCCCCCCAAATTTATGTTAAGAGATAGTTCTACTCAATAGAAAAATAAATGTCATGTAGGGTTTGTGTAGCAACCCCTTAAGTGAATTTAAATGAATCAATTCCCCTGGAATGAGCTGGCCAAGGATCACTGGTGTGGTTGGTATTCCACACTAAAAAGGAATGTTCCAATGATAACTATTGTTGAGGAAAAAGTGCAAATTATGAATTTTTTATGTTGAAATTCTTCTATTCTCTCATCACACCTTTTCCTCCAGAAAACTTTTGGCTGCTTATAGTTAGGAATGTGTTTAGGCACGCTGTTTTGAATATCAGTGGGAAGACCCTACCTGCCTTCTAAGTAATATGAGGATGGGAACCTTGTCAAGTGTTTCCCCACTGCATGCCCAAAGTTTACACAGACCTATAACAGGAGACACTCAAATATTTGCTGAAGGAATTAAATATCTAACTGAACTGCTGTGAAAATTCCAATTGGTGTTTTTCTTAAAATAGAGCATACTTTGCAGTAATGGTTCTTTCTCATGAATCCCTTCACTCTCAAATCTGAATTTCTCACTTACTTTTTATTTCAATTTATTTAAACTTCTAATGTCTAATTATAAATGTGAGGAATTTGCAAAAAATTATTACCCCTTCTCTGAGTTTCATAACAGTCTGTGCACAACAGGTTTTGTGTGAACATTTTACAGTAATTATCATCATGACAAAATTTTGTAGGAATTCCCACAGTTCCTGAAGTTTGTGGAGCATTCTATAATCTTTGCTTAGCAGAATTGTTCACGGTGACCCCATTTCCAGGTGGCATCAGACAGTACAGTATATGGCATCTAGACACAGGCCTGTGAAGACTATTTCTTCCTCCACTTGCCTGCAACACAGAACTTCAATGCTGTTATTCCCCAAAACCTCACATTGAATATCAATGCTACTGAAGTCCTAAAAGATAATATAGCGACAGCATTTTCTGCTTACCTGACCTCGATTAATTGAACCATTATTGGGGCACCTGGGTGGCTCAGTGGTTGCGCCCCTGCCTCTGGCTCGGGGTGTGATCCCGGGGTCCTGGGATCGAGTCCTGCATCTGGCTCCCTGCAGGGAGCCTGCTTCTCCCTCTGCCTGTGTCTTTGCCTCTTATTCTGTGTCTCTCATGAATAAATAAATAAAATCTTTAAAAAAAATTGACTGTTAGTAAAAAGACTGACTTCCTAATTTTTTGAGTGTTGTTCAAATTGTTGTTCCTAAATTCACCTAATAAATGTTTGGACCCAAGTTTGTGCGCCCCCCCCAAACTGCTGACTTGGCACATCAACTCCCTGCCAGTTAAATCATATGGGGAGTGGTTTCCACAGGTTCATTCCTTTCCTAAGATGTTCACATCTTTCTTCAAACTCTCTCACGTCCCTCCTTTCCCATTGCCCCCAGGTACTTTGATCCGATGCTTAGATATCTATGGTGTCCAACTCTCCTCCATGCCTCCAGTGACCCTTACATCATTCAAATTGCTGAATTATCTCCCAAAAGGAGTTGTTTGTCCACGTCATTCCACTGACCAAACAGTTTAGTGGGTCAGCAGTGCCTCCCAATCGACTTCCAACTCTGA